ACAGAAAGTTTTCTGTGTGGACACTTTCACCAGCACATGTTGGTGTATCACTTGAGGCTCCTGACAGTGGCTCATGCACAGACTAGTAGCAGAAATAGTGCACATGTTCCTTGTAGGTGTGTAACGGATAATATTCAGCAAGTGACATATGTAATGATAACTGTCGACAGCACTCAAAAATGTATTTTCTTTCTCAGACTTGGGCTATATTTATTGCAATTACTTCCTTCATCCTACTCTGCTTTTTGTCAGTTCTTTTTCTATTACTGTTCTCCTTTACGCAGGTAGGCTTTTCACTAAGGTAAGAATTCTCACGCCAGCTCCTAGCCTGAGGCCATCTAGTGCTATAGCCTGTGTCTGTTCATGGCTAAGACTAGATGATTAGGAAAAAAAGAGAAGGACTACATGCACTGGTCCCTCCTTTCATACAACAAGTCTCAGAGACTTCCTAAATTTTGTGTTTCAACTACCATGCTGTGCATTTGACAGTTAATCCAGTCTGAATAAATGTATTGAAGCCCTTCTTGAATATCTAGACATTATTGTTTTCTTACAGCATCAAGTAAGAAATTTTAAGAGTTCTCCAGTAATGTACTGATGGAAAAGCATAGATAGGAAACACTGTGGGGACTGATGGGTTTGGGTCCTGCCTTGCTTTTCCCTTCTACCTCTATGCATTTATGTAGCTTATATTCGCCCTATGCAGATAATATGTTGATCGACAATTTGTGCATTTGGAGGCTTTCCTATAATTTAAATCTTTTGTGTAATTCTTCTGTTAGATCCCATATGCATGTAAGAGCACATCAGGAGACTTATCTCAGCCTAGCCATGAAACAATCTCATAGTAATGTTGCAAGACTCCTCCAAGCAGTGTGAGATGGTTATGCCAAGATCATGGTGATGATGGGAAGAACCAGTGGGAAATACCCAAAGCAGAGATGGAGCTGCACAACTTTAATCTCATGGCTGGGGGCTGAACAGTGGCTTTGCTTCTGCGTAGTGCATCTACAGTAGGATAGTAAAACAGAAGAGGTAGTAAATCGGTGCCACAACCCTCAGCGGCAGTCACATGAGGTTAGTGCGGAGGTAACACACTGCATGGTGCTATCTAGCCATGTTCTTGTACCCTATAAATGATATTTGCTTGTCACACATTTTTGCTTTGAGAAAAATAAAGGGCTCTTCTTTTCTTCAGAACAATAACAACACACAGAATTTAATGGGAAATATTAAAAAACTTTCAGTCCAAAAGCTTTTAGTATAATGGTCTGCATCCTCAAAGAATGTTTACATGGATTTCATGCAGCAATACTTCATAGAATCATAGAATGGCTTAGATTGGAAGGGACCTTAGAGATCATGTAATCCAACCCTCCTGACATGGGCAGGGATTCCTCTCAACTAGAGCCAAGTTGCTCAGGGCCTCATCCAACCTGGCCTTGAACACCTCCGGCGGGCGGGAATCCACAACTTCTCTGGACAATCTATTCCAAAGTCTTACCACCCTCGTACTGAAGAATTTTTTTCTAAGATCCAATCTAAATCTGTTCTTCAACTTAAGCGCATTTCCCCTTCTCCTATCAGTGGACACTCTTGTAAAAAGTCCCTGCCCAGCCTTCCTGTAGGTTCCCTTCAGGCATTGGAAGGCAGCTATTAAGTCCCCCCGGAGTCTTCTCTTCTCCAGTACTTGAGTACTTCAGTGTAGTCAATAGCTGTATTTCTATCCAAACATTCCATCTTTCCACATCTGTCAGAAAATCTTGACTAATTCCTAGGAATGGGGTTATTTGTAATGTTTCTTCTGACTTTTCTGAAATTTAAAAAAAAAAATAATCCAGCTGTTAGACTTTAGGGTTTACTGTAGAACAGAAGAAATTATATTAATAAGTTTTCTTGAACTTGTCATGATAATAATCACATTTCTATAAAGATTAGATTGAAAAAATCTAGCAAAAAAACTTATTAGAATCTATCATGCAAAAAATGACTGCTTCCACCCACTTGTTCCCACAGTTCCTTAGAGCATCACTGTGTTTGTATGGAGTTATTAAAACTAAACCAGCTTTTAGTAAAACAAAGGGTTGTGGGTTTTCTATGGTGCTGAAGTTCAAGCTAACAGTCTTGAATATAAAACACCAAATACAGATTTTGCTTAAGTTAGTACCAAAGGGACTTTTATGTAGCTTGGTTTCTTCCTCCACTCTACAAGAGAAAAATTAATATCTCATCACCACTAAGAAAGTCAAAGGTATTCCAGAAGAATGAGAGATAAAAGTTCCAGGCATTGCAAATAGAGGTTGTTATTTTAAACAGTAACATTCAAACTTCTGTATTGCTTCTCAGTCGGTTGAGCATGGTGCTGATAACACCAAGGTCGCGGGTTCGATCCCTGTTCAGTCCCCATGTGTTGCCTGATCTAGTTGAGAGACGTCCCTGCCCATGACAGGGAGGTTGGAGTAAATGTTCTCTAAGGTCTCCTCCAGCCTAGGCCATTCTATGGTTCTCCTGTTGCTTCAACACAGCTCTGTCTCTCTGCAGGATGGATTCTTACCTGCAAAGCATCCAGATCTGATTTTATGAATATGTTAACTCAAGGCTAACAAAACTATATTACTGGTGTGAGAAACTGTCAGTGCCATTCAGACTGCATTTTGTTTTCCCTCCTTGCCATAAACTAAGCTGTTGAAAATGTCTCTGATTGAACTGCAGGTTCCTACTCTACTCACATGAACAAATTTAATGATTCTAATTGGAATTAAGTGAAGTATCTCTCTCCATAATTGGACAGTCAGCAGGCAGGACAAATGAGTTTAGATATTTGCTCTAAATCAAGGAGAGAGAGAGAGAAACAGAGGATAAATTTAACCCTTTTTCACACATGATAATTTTTGTCCTTTCTGTTCCTCTACAGTTGATGAGTTTAGGGGATTTTCTTTTACATGCTGCCTAAGATCAACAACCATGCAGGTGTCCCAGGTCACAACTTGACTGGAGAGTAGGTAAGAGGAGATTCATGGCTCGAGTTTTCAAGCAGGTTGTCCTATTAGCCAGGACTAGGTGTCTGTCTATTGCCAACTTTACTGTATTTGATTAGAAACTTAAGCAAAACTTTTGCATGTTCTCTTTATTTCATCTCTGATGGACTTATGCAGGCATTTGGCTGGTGCAGGGGGTACCCTTCTTGCACAGATCCCATAGATTGCCTGGAAGGACCAGGACATACGGGGACCCAAGGACTGTGTGTTGAAGGAGACTGCACTGCAACAGCAGTGAGGTATTTATTCTGTATCTGAGTTGGGCAGCTGAGAAAGCCCAGCTTGGGTACAAATTGTGAGGTAGTTTTATTTTCCTTCTACCACACCTAGATAGTGCAGGCACAGCTTAGCCATTTGCTTAGTCTTGCCCCTTTTAATGCAAAGAGCTTGTATTGAAAGAAGGTACATTGCCAGACAATCAGCCAGGTTATCATTGTGCATGGCCAACCAGTATGGCCACACATTCCTCCTGCAGCAACCTGGTGATTAATCTGTACTTCCTGACACACAGACCCTTCCTCAGGGCAGCCAGCAGTATTTGTTGAAGCATGGGAAGGTAGGGAGACTTTGGAGTGGCAGTGCCCAACAGTACCAGTAAGGGTGTGCCCAGTGTTGCAGAGCCAGTGACGTGAGAGACATGAGTGGGGAGGGCATGGACTGAGAACCTGTCAGAATGAAACCTGTGCGTAGGTGCCAGTCAGAGCGTGTGGCGTGCCAGGGCCCTTGGGACATTTGCCTAGAATGGTTACAGCCATGACTGCTCTCACTTACCTTGGGTCAGCTTATCCAAAATGCAGATTAAGTTGCCAAGAATGCAGAGACTTCAGACCTGGCTGGCCCTGTGCGGCATGAGATAAGATTTGGCAGGGCTGGATCTTAGCCAGCATTGAAAAGGGCTGATGGGTGCTAATGACTGCACAAAGTCAGTAGCCCTGACCCTCCTCTCCAGCACACCCTGCAGCACCCGCTGCCACCTGGCATTTCATTATCTACTGTGTCCCAACAGCCCCAGATAAAGATATCAATTCAGTGCTGCTGTGCTGGTTCAGATCCCAAGCAGGTGACTGTGGTAAAAAATGGGTTAAGCATTTAGACATTGATCCTTCTCGGGTTAGACCAGGATCCTGTGACTTTTTAATCTTTCCTTTGATAAAATAGCTGAACTGCAGTTTTAAAGTTCACTGCAGCACAGATATTCAGCCGTCAAATATTTCTTACTTTGATTCCTCAAATTCTTACTTATTTCTTACTTTGATTCCTCAAATTCTTACTTATTTCTTACTAGGATTCCTCAAATTCTTCTTTTTTCTTCCCCCAGAATATCCAGGGCAAATACAGGGTTCTGTGAATCTTCTCATTCATACTTGTTATGGAGGTAGTGCTGCCACTTTACTTATCTGTTTTATTAACTCATTTACACAGCCAAGGGTGGTGCTGCAAGCTGCTGTTTAATTGGTGGTATTCTGATTTTCTGAGATATCTATAACATGACTAACTTTGTGAGTTAAGCATTGAAAAGATGCTGTCAGTTTTTAAAGTCACACTCCCATTTGGCTATTTTTCATAATCAGTGTTACAAGCAAGATTACTGGAATCATCATAACAATAAAAATAGGTGGGGAGAAGTGTTTTGCTTTAGTCTAGGGTTTGGAAGATTATTTTTTTTTTGCACTTTGTCCTGGACAGCATTTATGCGCTTGTATATGGTCAGTGCTTCTGCTTACTGTTTATAAGCAGTTTCTGCCGAGAAAATATATAAACTTGGGTCTCCTTAACAGCAGCAGCACATCACAGCTGAGATTGTGGGGGCGGTGGCTGAAAAGAAGCAGCAGTATAGGGTCAATGACTGAACCTTGGGTCCACCCCTTTCTGTTTACTGTGGGTTCAGCTCTTTCCTTTTAATCCTTGCTGTACCAGGAGAAACTACTGAACTTGGAAGGAAAGTTGCATGTTTCCATAGTCATGGCGCTCTTTTCTTCCCTAACCCCAGTCTTTATAGCCATTATATGTGTTCTGATTGGGGTAATACTGAAGAAGACTAATGGAGAGAAGGAAAAACGTGAGATTAAAACCAAGCCTCTATCTCGCCCATGGGTGGATGAAGATTTAAAAGATGGCACTGACAACCACTTAGAGGAAGAAGGTAAGAAAAATCTTATCCATCTGAGCACTTCTGTTGTTTGGATTTTATCTGCTGATATGAATAAAGGAGACGTGATCTTCTGGATTTCTCCACAGTGGTAGCAGTGCATAGAGCTACACTGCTGCTGTGCCCTGAGCTTGTCAGCTCCCTGGAAGGAGACTGTCTTCATGTCATGTCATGTCAGTCTTGGTGCAAATCTGTATTTCCTCTAGATCCCACAGGTCAGAGTACAAAAAGAAAATGCATTTTCAACAACCCCTGTCTGTCTCTCTGCACAGAGGATCTTGGATCTATGAGAGACTCTATGAGAAATATAGAGAAAAAAAAAGGAGATACTCCCAGCTTCTTCCCAGGCCCTATTAGTGTGAGAAAATGGAAGATTTGAACAGAGAGTTTCTACCTGCAAGCTGATTTTCATCTTGCTTTATCATCCAGTGACACATATTTGGTTTCAGCACCCCCAGAAAAGTTGGAAATAGGTTTGTTACAGTTATCACAAAAATCCTTGATTTGTGACTTCTGAGAATATCCATGGGAGCTTCAGCTGGATTAGCACTGGGATTATTTGTGAGCTGTGTTGGTCAAATATTTAAGAACAAGATGTGGTAATGGTTCTAGTCTGTTCAATCAACTGCATATCTGAACTGGTACAGAATGCCTCTTTTTTTCAGTAGTGATTTGCGATGAACGACTTGACAAAAGACTGAACACAAAATGTGCCCTTCCTTCTTTTTGCTTCCTAACTATTCTCTATAAGCTCCCTTTATTTACTTTTGAAATAAAAATCTACAGAGTTCTGTTTCTATGAAGTTTTCAAACTTGCAGTTAATACAGATTTTTTTTTTCAAGCTGGTTTTGTGGGGGCTTTTTGTCCCATAATAGCACATTCCCTGAGATTGCTTCTAGGAATCTTGAATCTTATATTGTTTTTCTGTACATATATCTGTTTCTAAGAACCATTATTTCTTTTTATTTCTCAACGTTCAGTGTACCTTGAGTTAATGTTGTGCATCATTTTCCAGAAACAGTTGTTACTTTTTAAACATTTTAAACCATGTTGACTTTGAACATTTTAAATCACATTCCCAAATATACAAAATGTCTTTAAAAATTAGTTCATGTGTTCTATCCTACTTTGTTCAGTGCAAAATGTATTCTGTATAAATTATCCCATATTTACTTTGTTGCTAATGGCTTACAAGTTCAGTTAAATTGCTGTAAATTAAAATTCCTCTGCATAGTTCAGGTGATAATCTGTGAATTACCTGTGACATCTTCAACTACAGCGGTTTCTATCAGTTAAAAAAAAATTTAGATTCTCTAAGTAAACAAACCTATTAGCTCTTAACAAGGAGCCTCACTGCCACAGCTCACATAAAAAATACTATTATTTTATGTCTTAGTTATTTTCCGTTTTATTCAGGTGTTGAATTCAAAACTGTGCTAGTTTAAAATTGCTTACCAAAAATTGACACACTTGTGCAGTTGCTAAAAGGACATTTATTTATTTTTAAATAGAACTTCCCTCAATGTACCATGTCATCCAACGTTAAATTACGTTTTCTTGCTACGTTGCTTTTAACAACAAATAATCATCTTTCCCTTAATGGTGTGTAATTCGAATCAACATGTTTGCAAAAGAAGCATGTCTTTTATCTCTAGAAAAATTAAAATAATTACATCATTCTTAAGGAAATTTTTCTTCAGTGGAGGAAAGGCCAGCCTAAGGTGAGAAGAGAATGTGGCACCTTGGTAAGGATCTTCTACTCTGCTGATGACATAGTTAACTGTCAAAATATATTCACCTTGTTGTCAGTGTTAAAATTTTCAATGACTGCTCTAGATCCTGAAATGAAAACATGAATGTAAACGGATTTTCTTGATAGTGAAGGTTATTTTACCTGCCATGTAAATTCTACTACTTTATCAGACAAGCTGATTTCTACTTAAATGTCTGAACCTAGCTTGTATTTAAAGATAAAGTTCCTCTGAAGGCAGTTTCAGTTCGGTGAGATGAATAATTTTTAAGGTCTTACGTAAAGCTACAGTCTAGGGCTGCCACAGGTGAACAAGCTGAATTTCGAACAGCTCCTGCCAGGAAGGGGCAACTGAAGACCAAGTCTTTCAATATGTGTTCGTGCCCAGAGTGAGGGCACTTTTGCCAAGAGAGCTCTGTAAGCACTCTGTAAGAAAAGCACTCAACTTACTTGGGCGACATCAGTCCTGCGAACCTTCCCTGAAGTGGCACTAGCTGGATGTTTCCCCTGAGAGTGGCATACCTCTGGGCAGCAAAGCATTCACTGTGATCACCTAAACTGCTTGGGCAGGCTCAGCAGAGCCACTTATTGGTGGCAGAAGGAGAAGGACCAAGGACTCCTGAGCATGTCTGTGTTATGCTTTTGGTAGCTGAAGTGAAAGGTGTTTCTCAGAGCAGCCCCAAACTCAGCTCTTGTGTTAAGTGGAAAGCTTTTACTCTTGTTAAAAAAGCTTTAACTCTTGTTCAATGCTTTATGTGGCAGTACTTCAGACTTGTTTGCGTACCCATCTGTCCTGTAACTTTTTCTTTCACTTATGAAAGCCAGAATGAGAGATTGATGTGCTGTGGATTGGCAAGAATGGTCTGTATGTGTGCATGTCTTGCTGTGTCTTGCATTAGGCTGTGTGTAATTACCAGTTTGATACAGATGTAAAAGATATTTCTTCAGTCTTCTCTTGAATGATGAATCACAACGGCTCTTTTCTAGTGGTGGGCATCTGATCCCAGTGTAGTGGTACATCATCTCCCACTGCTTCTGGTTTATGCAATTAGATCTGGACTGCTGCAAAGACAAGTTTGGTCTTCAACCCAGGGAGTTTATTGTATATTGGTCACTTTTTTTGTCTTATATTCAGATCGATACAATAAAGGTAAATACAGACCCAGTTTATAGTGATGTGGAGGATGAGGTTGAATTTTATTTGTATCCTTGTTACTCTGGGAATCAGTTGCAGGGATTAATAGCAACGACATTTTCTTACTACATGGTTAATTGTGAGGACTTTGGTGATGTACTCTCCGTAAGGACTACAAAGCAGCATACAAAGCCCCAAATGTTCCGTCAAGAAGTATCACAAGCACCAAGAAGTGTAATAAACTTCTCCCTCTTAAAAATATTTCTCCTCTCCCCAAGTTCAAAGGCTTGCCGTATTTCTTAATAATACTACTGACATGAATGAGGCACTAGCAGTTTAATTTTCCAGTGAATGACAGCTCATCCTCTGGGTCATTTTGGAACACAGAACTTACATTGACGCATGCATCATTGTGTTTATCTCCCTGCTGCTGCAGACACCTCCAGTTTTTGTCATCAGCTGGATGAACGTGAAAACTGGCTTTTTTTGATCTTGTTTCTTTAACCTTGCTGGAGAGCCATTCCAGAACTTTGTGCTATGGGTTAAAAATCCTTTTTTGCCTGCCTGCTCAAATTTATTACTAAATAATAATAATAATAGTAGTATTAACTACTCTATGCCCGTTTTTCCCATTGCATCCTCTTGTTAGTTTAAAGGACACTTTTCTAGACCCAGTGTGTACCCTCCTGTAGTTTATAAACAGCAATCAGGTCAGCTTTTCTTCTACCAGGTAAACCAGCTAACCTTCTCTTTATAAAACAGCCACTGTTTCATTTGAACATCTTAAGAAACCTCCTGCAACTATATTCCATTTTGAGGTAATTTTCACAGTATTTTGGTGTTGGCTTCTTTATTTCGTGGTCTGCCTCTCCCACTTGGTACTTCTTTTGCTTAAGATACCTGACCAACTCTCGAGGTTTCCAGGATCAGCCTGCTAACCACTATTTATAACCTACTAGTAAGGCACTCCATCTCCTTTAGCTCCCTATTAACCACATACTCAGTTTGGGATTGGATTCACTACTGAGGTTCCTATAATGGCAGGTTATGTAGCAGTCTGCCATTAATCAAGCAAAATACCACAGGCTCAGTTGCCCAGCATTTTATGTCCAAAGATTTGAAAGCTTTCATTATATAAATTTAATTGTTTTCCTATGCATTGTGTCTTTACATGGAAAAAGAGGATTGGAGAGGAATTCTGTGCTTAAGAAACTATTCCTTAAAGAAGAAACTGAAAGAGCTGGTTTGGAAAGAAAACACATTCATCTAGACTGAGGTTACAAGCGAGGTTTCTCAAGGCTTTGCATAAAGCCAAGGAGTGTACAAATGAATCTTCTTAACGACATACAACTGGGAGCCAACAACACAGGGGAGTGTCAGTATAGGTAAAATAAGAAGCCAACAGAAGTGAAATGACAAATGATTGTTCTCATTGGGATTTTTATGTTATTAGGAAGTCTTATTGAGAATTTTTGCCAAAAGTTGAGGCAAAATCCTCTATATGATTTGTAGGTTGATTATAACCCATATGAACTGGGAAGAGGACAAACATAATTCTAAAATATATCCAGAGAGGAATTTCAGATAGATTTAGAGAAAATTAGATTTATTTTTTTTTTTTCACTTAGGATGTCTGATCCAAAACCATTTCAGATTTGCTTAAAGAGCAGAAAGCCTGATGACTATTGTAAATGTACAACAAAATTGATGGCAATCTTGAGAATGCGACTAACAAGATAATAGACTGACTAGCAGGATGTCTGTTGTCCATCAAATGATGGAATACATGGAGATGTAAACAAGGCATTTGTAGTATTGTATAATGTGACCATACAAACAATATGTCTAAACAGAGCAATTAAAGATACAGAGAGCATGCACTAAACAGATGGTGCTGATAATGATTTTAGTTAGCATATGGATAATGTTAACTGCTATGAATGAATGGTAGACACATGGTGGAAGAGAATAAATAGATGAATTTATTAAATAAAAAATGAAAAATTGTCAGGCGAGTTCTGGTTTTGTGTGTCAGGTCTCTCACTTCTGCATTCTTCTCCTGCCTCAGCCAGCATTCCCATTTTAAGTGTATTAAGATTTTTAAGTTTTGCTTACAAAACTTAAGGTTAGATATCGTGATTCTCACACTTTCATTCTCACTAATCACCTCACCTTTGTCTTATGTTCATAATCTTTGAGAGTACATTTCTTTTGTCACTGTGTTATAATTAAATTGAATGATCTTGACCACACAGCAGCTTCACTTGTTTTCTTCTCTTCTACTTACACGGGAAAAAACCCTCACCACAAAACAAGTAAACAAACATGTCAAAATTTATCTCTGCTTGCCCTTAGGTAATACTGCTAGTTATACACTTCGTCTCTTGCAAGATATAGGTTTCTGTGCTAACTAATTCTTTTCTTCCGTTCCTAGTTGCCTATAGATCATTTAATCGAGATGTCTATTCAACTGATTACATATCATAGAATGGTCTAGGCTGGAAGGGACCTTAGAGATCATCTAGTCCAGCCTCCCTGTCATGGGCAGGGACGCCACCTCTCGACTAGACCAGGCAACACATGGGGACCGAGCGGGAATCGAACCCACGTCCTTGATGTTGTCATTGTTGTCAGCACTGCGCTCAAACCACTGAGCTAACTGACATCTAATGTACTTTTTATACCTCTGATTTAAAGAAATGCCAAATCTCTCTGCTTCCTGATACCTGAATTCTTCAGTCTGAGTTTCCAACTTTTTTTTTTTTAATCTCTCATTTTCCCTAAAAACTGGCGGAAAAGGACCTGGGTGTTCTAATTGGCAGCCGGCTGAATATGAGCCAGCAGTGTGCCCAGGTGACCAAGAAAGCCAACAGCATCCTGGCTTGTATTAGAAATTTTGTGACTAGCAGAAGAAGGGAGGTGATTGTCCCTCTGTACTAAGCACTGGTGAGGCCGCACCTTGAGTATTGTGTTTAGTTTTGGGCACCTCAGTATAGGAGAGATATCGAGGTGTTGGAGTGAGTGCAGAGGAGATCAACAAAGCTGGTGAAGGGCCTGGAGAACAGACCTTATGAGGAGCAATTGAGGGAGCTAGGTCTGTTCAGTTTGATGAAGAGGAGGCTGAGGGGAGATCTCATCATGCTCTAAATTACTTGAAAGGACATTGAAAAGAAGTTGGCGCTGGTCTCTTCTCACAGGTAATTAGGGACAGAACCAGGGGGAATGGTTTCAAGTTGCAACAGGGCAAGTTTAGGCTGGACATTAGGAAGAAATTCTTCACGGAA